GCTGACTAGAGACCAACACTGGAATACCAGCTCCTAATAAGGCAGTGAGAACACAGATGCAGCAAAAAGTAATTTAAATAGAGATGCCTAATGCAAAAAGAATACCGATTTTCTTTATATGTAAGGGTTACTCATACTTAACATATTAAAATAATTTTACACAGACACAAACAAAAGCACTTCACTTGATTTATAGTTATATTCTTTAGCAAGGGCCAGACAGTGGTTTGATGGGAATAGACAACACTCTCCAAGGCTGATCTGCACTGGAAGGTTTTGGGTTTGTGTCTGAAGTATATGTATACCCCTGATCTGGAGTTGGCTGAAGTTGGGGGCAGACCACAGTGTCAAGACCCTATTAAGTGTGCTGTCTTTCTGTTGTTTTCTCTCGCCCCTCTCTCTTATTCTGTGTGTCTCTTGCCCATGGAAGAAATAAATAAACTTTAAAAAAATAAAGAAGCACTAGAATCATCTTCAGCAGTGGTGTTTAGGGAGGTGAAGATGAAATGGCACACATACCTTGGCTTGTCCAGCTTTGGTGATGGCAGGCATATTAAAGCGCTGTCCAGTATAAAAATTCAGCCCACTGAACATGATCACTGCAATTGATTCTCCTTCCTTCTCAATTACGTCAAGGATATCCTCTGTTCTTAAGATTTCTTCCCCCTAAGTCAAGTTAGGCACAAGTTATGTCATATCATTGACCATAAACTTAAACATATGTCATATCATTAACCATAACCATAAACATGTCATGAATGTTTATCAACATGTGTATCAATCTAAATTTCATCATGAGCTCTTTCTCCATCATAAGGAAAATAAAGGTAAAGTTTTAGAGGAATAATATTCTTCAAAAATCTAGCCAAAGAGCAACATTTGAGTATTTTTTTTCTATTAAGAAATAATGGGAACCAGCAGTTAGCGTAATGGCTATGTCGCTGGACTCCCACGTAGTTGACCACGGTTCGCATCCCGGACCCAGTGGCTTAAAACTTACGCCGGGCGCGTGTGTGTGTGTGCCCAAGATCCCAAGAGGAGAATGGAGGAGAAGCGATTGCGGCATGGCCATCCTCCCAGGGGGTGATTTCTCGCTTTTTGTCTCTAGGTCTCTGTCTGTCTGGCAAGTGCTCGCACCCTATAGCGAAGACCTCTCCAAAAAAAAAAAAAAAAAAAAAAAATAATCAGGGGGAAAAATATTTACGGAAAAATAAAATTGTTAAAAAAAAAATGGGGAAGCAGCAGGTGGCACGGAACTGGACATCCACATGGCCAATCATGGTTCAAGTCCCAGACTTGATACCTTGAAACTCATGCAGGTCATGTGTGCTCACATGCTCAAAATCTCAAAAGGAGAATGGAGGAGAAAAGATAGGGTAGCCATCCCCCTGGGGGTTGATTTCTCGCTTTCCTTTTCTTTAGCTCTCTCCCTGTCTCTTACTCTATGGCAAAAACCTATAAATAAATAAATACATACATACATACATACATACATACATAAATAAAAACTTGTATTAAAGGTTTTTAAAGTGAAAGTCTGCAATAGCCTAATTGTTTGGTTAATCCTCCAGTTTTTCAATTAATTTTTACTAATTGCACACCTATATATTATTTTTTTCCTTATTCGCAGCCAAAAAAGATCACAAAGTGTGAGGTATATGAAATAGATAGCAAGACAAATTTGTTGGAAATTAGTATTTAACTTATAAATCGAATGTTATGATTCCTTCCCATCCCCTCAAATAACCCATATATTTCATCTTGATATATAGGTTTTATATAGGTTTATAGATTTTTTCTTTTTAGTTTTTGCCATAGGACACATGCACTTGCCAAAGAGAACAGAGAAAATGTGAGAAATTATCCCCAAAAGGGGATGGCCATGTGGCAATCCCTTCTCCTCTGTTCCCATCTTGGGAATTTGAGCATGCTTACATATGCACCTGGTGTGATTTTCAAATTGCTGGGTCCAAGTCTCAAATCATGAATGACCATGTGGGAAACCAGCATCTTAATCACCTCTTGGCTCCCATCTGAATATTCTTAGCAAAAATCTTCTTTTATTTTGAGTGTACAATCTCCTCGGGTCGAGCAGATGGCATAGTGGTTACATCACTGGGCTCCTACATGACCAATTGCGGTTGAATCCCGGACCAAGTGGCTTGAAACCATGCCGGGTGTGCGTGTACGCATGCCTCAAGATTCTAGGAGGAGAATGAAAGAGAAAGGATTGCAGCCTGGCCATCCTCTGAGGGGGTGATTTTTCACTTTCTCTCTCACTGTCTCTGTCTCTTTCTCCAGCAAGTGCACAACCTATGGGCAAAAACATCTAAAAAATAAAAGTTACAACGGACCAAGTGGCTTGAAACCATGCCGGGTGTGCGTGTACGCATGCCTCAAGATTCTAGGAGGAGAATGAAAGAGAAAGGATTGCAGCCTGGCCATCCTCTGAGGGGGTGATTTTTCACTTTCTCTCTCACTGTCTCTGTCTCTTTCTCCAGCAAGTGCACAACCTCTTGGCAAAAACATCTAAAAAATAAAAGTTACAATCTCCTCAAAACTAATCAATTAAAAATGAAGATACTCCCAAAAAATGTACCAAATATGAATAAAATAACAATAAAATTGACTGTCAGTGAGGTTCCCCCATATCTCCCCATACAACTGATTACATTGTGAAAACTTTGAACAAATTTAGATTCTATCTTGCGAATAACTTAAGCTGAAAGAAATTAGTAAAGTAAAAAGTATCTATGTGTATCCTAGCAATTCTAATCTACTGATAAAATCTTTATTAATTTTATTTAGTGCTAAGTCAGACATGTTTTTGAGATCAATGCATCATTAATTGCATTACTATTTGTAAGAAGATCATTAAGATATTTATAGTTATCATCAGTGTGTTTTTCATAATTCTTTCTGTTTGCAAATTGCTATACTCTACTAGGGTTTGTGTGTGTATATATAGTAACACTTTTTACTAAAAGAAGACTGGAATTTGTTTAAAACATTGGGGCCATCAAGTGGCATGGTGGTTAAGGTGCTGGACTCCCACATGACTGACTGCAGTTTGAGCCCCAGTCTTGGTGGCTTTTTCTCTCTCCTCCACACCCTCTGGTGAATGCACATGTCCTATAGCAAGTTAAAGAAAAAAAGATAAGAAGAAGAAATTAAATTTTAAAATAGGCATCTATAAAAGCATATTGTATTAAAGTTTTTAAATTATTAAGTGTGCTATATATGTATATATATATAATTTTCGTAATTGTAAGAAAAATTCTAAGCATAATTAATACGTGGCAATCTAAAATGCTTTATTCATTTTTAAAGAATTATTCATTTAATTTTATTTATTGTTATTACTATTATTTAATTTGCTATATGGCACATGCACTCACCAGAGACAGAGAGAGAGAGAAAAGAAAAGTGAGAAAGCAAGCTTCCAGGTCACCAGGTTTGGGACTCAAGTTGTGGTCAGCCATGTGGAATTCCCATGCTTTAACCACCACATGACCTGCTGGCTCCAAACAGTTTATTTTTAAAAGAATCTACAAAAGTTTGCCTACCATAACATTTTTAAAAGGGTAAGGAAGGTGTTATATAAACTAATATTTCATTTATTTCTTTAAAGAATACTTATTAACCAAATGATATACTTCTCAGTAATACAAGATATGGCAATTTCTCATGCTGACTTGATCTAGTCTAGTCTAGTAAAAAATGACCCCCAAATTTTGATTAACTCATGAGCTACACAACACTGGGCACTTACAATGTTAAAACTGGTGATTATTAATGGTTATACTTATATACTAAAAATTAGCAGTTTATGTATGACAATGACATATGTAAGTGATATCTACTCACAGGTGGAAGAAATTTTTATTTCATTGATTTATTGTATGTTGGCAAATACAAGTAAATAGAGAAGGCCTTTAATTCCTTCAATGTAATACCGGGTTGAAAAAGCAGTTGCTCAAATATTAACTTAAAAGCCTGGAAGCATCATATATGAAACCTAAAACTTAGTCCATAACATTCTGCTAGTCCCAAATTACACAAGCTGCAGGGTTTATATGTCAAAATCTATTCAACTTAGTCTTATATGTCTACAAATGAAAAGTGTACTGTTTTAAATCTTGCTCGTTTTGACCCTGTGCTGAATCCTGACTAGGTATATCCTGCTACCTGTTGAAATATAAAGGAAACAGAGAAAGTAAGATGCTGAGGAAACTGGAGACTGCGGGATTTCACTGCAGTGTATTAGCCAGGCTATGAGGTCCACACTCCTGTCACTAGAGTACATCCCTTTCTCCAACCTTGTGTGAGGAAAATGTTCAATGCTTAGATTAAGAAGGAAAGATAGCCATCATTTAATTTCCACAGATATCATTGGTCTTTGGCATCCATCCGCAATAACATTTGATATTGAAAATGATACACCCAATTTTCTATGCTCTTCCCAAAATAGTTTGTTTGCCAAATGACTAGCACTTGGAACATGAAAATAAATATTTTCTGCTTTAAACGAAATGATCTAACAGTTGCAGAACTACAGATCTTTTTATACTTTCTTGAAAGAACCATTAAAGTAGTAAAGATAATAAACTTTTGAGAAAAATAAAGGAAAACTAAATTCTAAACAGAAGCATAATAAATAATTATTTATTTCTCATATACCTCTCTTGGCTTTATCATCCGCATACTTTTCTCAACATTAAGTCCATGAAGTTGAAGCTGTGACTCAATAGCATACTGGAAAAGAGATGCAGTTTATTTATTAAATCAAGCCCAAAGCACAGAAATACACTGAATTAACAACTGTGAAAACCAATAATCCAATAACAATAAAAATCATCATACTATATTAAATCTCAAGTCAAGGTTAAAAGTGACCAAGCAGAATACATCAAAGAATAACTTAACACAATTTATATGCAGGAATCTGAACATTCTTTGAAATACTATATATTAAGATGAATGAAACATAGGGAGTTTAGACTTTAGGAAGTAACAAGACAGTTTTAGAATGAAATATTAAATCACCTAATGTAAATCAAAACCAGAATTTACAAAATAAGTTGTACAGACTACTATGCTTGAACTCAATATATATATATATATAGAAATAGATTACCTGAGAAAAGGTAACTTAGTGAAAGGAAAGGACATTAAAAAGTATATTAAGAATGTAAGATAGGTACAACAAAGAATTACAAATATCCTAAATTGCTTTTCATTTTATTACAGTTTGGTCCCTTTACTTAAAAAGTAATGACTGTTAATTTTGACTTAATTACATGCTCTAAAACTGTAAGAAGTGAGCTAGAATATTTATTAACAACAATATAATGAAGAAATCAAGTTTCTCTATCACTAAAATTGAACTATGTGGTATATACGTTCATCTGTTTGTATCTGGAAAAAATTTCTTTCTTCTCTTTTTTGAGAGAGATTTTTGTCATAAGGCGTGTGTGCTCGCCAGAGAGACAGAAAGCAAAACATCACCCCCCTAGGAGTTATGGCCATGCCACAGTCCCTTCTCCATTCTCATCCTGAGACTAGGCACGCACGACATGCACCCTGTGTGAGTTTAAGCTGTTGGGTCTGGGACTTAAGCCTTGGTTGACTCAAAGAGAGTCCAGCAATGTAGTCATGCCATCTGCTGGTCCCATGAAAAGAATTTCTTACCAACTGAATTGCTGAAAAAGTAGCATGATTGTTTCAGTGAGCCACAGGAAATAATTTTATTCTTCAATAAGTAATTATTTTTCTCTGATAAAGCACCAATAAGTAGTGTGCTATGAAAACAGAAGGACAAATAAAAGTTTATAATCCTGTTCCGTGTGGCTAAAGGGTTAAGCACTGGGGTTTGTATTGACTTGGTTTCATAAACTAAACCAGCAACAAGAATTAATAAAACATTTATAACTGCACTTGATTTAGACTAGCAGTTTGCTCAATTTCTTTAAAAAGAGTAATAAATCAATGTTCCTATTCAATCTTTTCCTCCCTTAGCACATGTTTTACTTGAACAAAAGAAATAAAGCTACAATCTATAAAAAAAAGCCTAAGTCAAAAGTACTTGACAGATCTTTTTATTGTAAGGTTACTTGGAAAAGACTAGTGAATAAACATTCAAGTCAGGCAAATGATTTGCTCCTCCAGGAAGAATGGAAAGAACATAAATATAATTTGAAGAAATCCTTACATGATCAGAAGGGAAGGCTTTGGCTTCTAGAAGAATTTTATATCGTTTTGGTGTAGGTTTAAAAAATGATAACTGCAATGAAATGGATTATTGAGAAAGCATTAATACAACATGATTTATACATTTGTTCATTTTATGCCATACTTCCATTTTATAATCTCCAATTCCTTAAGGATATTAATTAATTAAACATCTAAAATGTCTGTCAGTGGTACCTTTTCAATCAATCAATGAATAATAGACAGGAAGGAAATATTTACTTATGTTTATCAATGCAAAGCAAACTTGTGGGAAATGTGAATCAAATAAAAACAAATTCTCACACTTTACTTAAATATTAATTGAAAAATTATCTTCCCAGAACATCAAATAGTAATTTCTCTAGGATGGGATTGAACGAGCACATTCTATGTGTGTTTTATTTATATTGACTTACCTCACACTGCCAATTTCGTTTCCATTACACATTTCCACTGTTTTATTATTTTATGAGATTTTATTTTAGGCCTAACTAAAAGTCCCTCAGCTCGAACATGAAACATTTGCTTTTCATAGAGACACCAACAAAAATAAGTGAGTTGCAGTTCTTGAGCGGCTAGATCACCCACATGGCCTTCCCTGATTCAAGTCTAGGACCTGGCAGCTTGAAAATCACGCTAGCCATGTGGGCATGCATGTTCAAAATCCCAGTAGGAGAATGGAGAAGGAATTGTGGAGTGGCCATCCACCCTGGGAGTTGATTACTCACTTTCTCTCTCACTGTCTGTGTCTCTCTGGCAAGTGCACGCACCCTATGACAAAAACCGTAAAAAAAAAAAAAAAAGAAAGAAAGAAAGAAAAAGAAAAAGAATTAGCTCACTGTTTAATGGCCCTTTCATCTCTTCACACCATTCCTGAAAACAAGACTTATAAGAATAACAATGCTGTTGATAACTGCCGTTAACTGGGTGTTGACCACATATTGTCATATTTAACAGTTACACAGGTCTATGTGGTAAGCAATATTACCTTTTATTTTTTTTAACAAAGTAGAATATTAAGATTTAGATATGCCAAAAGCCTTTTCCAATGTCAAATAAGTTAAATTAACTTAACTGAGAGTCAAATCTAAGATGTTTGAACTTACGGGCATGTTCTCAAGATATATTTTTAAAATTTCATCAACATTTTTTCAAAGCATCAACTAATTATCATAGATATTATATCCCAAATTGAAAATTTGACACTTTAAGGTAAAACTATCCACTGAGTATTTAAAATATAAGAATTACTTTAACCATGGTAACATACATAAGGCACTAGTTCCCTATTCTCCAATTTAATAATATTCTCCAAGCCTTTTTAAACCTACACCCCCAGAATTAATTTATAAGAGCATGCTGATCCATAATCACACTCTTATAAAGTTCAGCATGTTGAAACATTGTCTTTCTGCAAAGCTCAATGCTTGGCCGGCATTTGTACCTCATTGTTGTGTCTGCTTGCAAGCAGCTTTCCTTTTCACCCAATGTGACTGTTATTCCTTACGTTCTGAGATAAGAACTGTTTATTATTCTAAAGCTCTTTGCAAGAGTCAACTCATCCATGATCATGAAAAAAGCATCATATCATAGTCCAGCATTTCCTGGTAAAAATGAAAATAACCTCGCAACCTGCTTTTAAATAAGCCAACACCAGATGCTCATAAATTAAGGATAGGAAAAACATCAGATTCTGTAAATGTATGCATTCTAAACATTGGTGGGAAAGAATATTTACCAGTAGGAGATGTAAATTAACAGTCAATGCATTCATTAGGGCTATTTCTTTCTCATTGGCTCCTGCAAAATAAACATATCATAATTTAGATTTTTCTATTAGTTCCGAAGATACTGAGAAAAACAAAATAGGCTGGCTTCACTCCATCATTCTTAATGTTTTTAGAGAAAACAGCAAATTTCATGTGTCATCACAAAGAAATGGAGGTTCTCCCACTTGACTCATTTTATCAAGTGATATCTGGACTCACATGCACATAGATAACTAAAAATTGTATTTCTTTTCTGATATAGTAAATAAAAACAATGAAATAATGATACTTTCCCTGTGAACTACAAATGACTTATCTCGTTATCAGCTTGTTTGCCAAATTCCCAGGGAGTACATTTTTGTGGCAAATGTGTCTTCAAAAGGAATCTAAAAAAATATTTAGGACAATCACGTTTTTAAAGCGGTTTGTTCGTAACATCAAATTAAAATTCACTCTTTGTAAAAGAAGGAGTTTACCAGACATAATTCACTATTATAGTGAGATAAATAACAGTTTACAAGACAAAAAGCTACACAGCAAAATACAATAACCTAAATAGCTCTGGGGTGTATTCATACATGCTGAGAGAAAAGAAAATATAGGTGTACATCGCTGGCAAGAAAATACGGAAAATTAAAATATTTACCGCATGATTACAATATGGCCAATTTTTACAATCAAGTGTTTGACACCATAAACACCCAGAGACAGAGACTATGTTGGTTACTTAAGAACTCATTCTACATTCTTAGCACTAAAATTCCTTCCAGATATATTAGATATAATATGATAAGCTCATCTTGTACACTGTCAGTATGTACAGTGATTGTCAATTTTAAAATGTAGAAGAATAAATTAACTTTTTAAAAATCCTTGATCGATGCCAACTTTCTTATATTTGTTTTTCTTCATTATGGTGTACATTGTTTTTGTTATTTCTACACAAAACAGTGTCTAAAATTTCTAACCTGATCTTATCCTTGACTTCCTGTTAGTTACTTATATGTATTTTTTTCTGAAAACAATTTATAAAAATTGGCACGGAGAGTGAAAGGAGGAGAAGAAAGAAAAGTAAGATAAAGAAAGAGAAGAACTAGTAGACAGAGAAGCATTTGTTTATTTATTTATCCTTTTGTTGTTGTTAGCGATAGCATGTGTGAACCTGTGAGAGAGAGAAAGAGAAAGGGGGGAGAGTGAGAGATAACCCCTCCTCAGGAGGATGGTCATGTCATAGTCCTTTCTCCTCCATTCTTATCTCAAAGCTTTGGGCACCCGTGTACACATGCTCAGCGTGATTTTCCAGATTCCAAGTCCAGGACTGGAACAACTCATTTGGCCATGTGGGTTTCAGAAATTCAGCTGCCTTAACCTCCATGCCGTCTGCTGGCTTCAGAGAAACAATGAAAAGAATAGAGTGAGTCTCCAGACATCCGTATATATTTGTTCAAGATCCCAGGAGGAGAATGGAGAAGGGATTGTGAGATGGCCATTCCCCTGCAGGGAGGATTTCTCACTTTCTTGTCTTTCTATCTTTCTGGCAAGCTCACTTGCCCTATAGCAAAAATCTCTCTCTCAAAAAAAAAAAAAATAGAGTGAGAAGAAGAAAATGAAAGAAGAAAACATGGTAGTTGGGAACCAGCAGTTAGTGTAATGGCTATGTCGCTGGACTCCCACATAGTCGACCGCGGTTCGTGTCCCGGACCCGGTGGCTTAAAACTCACGCCAGGCGCGTGTGCGTGCGTGCCCAAGATCCCGAGAGGAGAATGGAGGAGAAGGGATTGCGGCGTGACCATCCCCCCTGGGGGGTGATTTCTCGCTTTCTGTCTCTTGGCAAGCTCACTTGCCCTATAGCAAAAATCTCTCTCTCAAAAAAAAAAAAAATAGAGTGAGAAGAAGAAAATGAAAGAAGAAAACATGGTAGTTACAACAAAATGTAATCACAAAATGCAAACAAAATGGAAGAAACAGTAAGTGAGGAGATACGCTATAGAGGCTCGTACATTCCGTTTGCTCAAACATTACATTTGGATTAAAGTGATTAGAGATTCTTGGGAAATTTTGATTTTACAAACAGTACAGTGTTTATTTGGGATCATCTAAAATGTTTCTGGCATGGAAATTTGTCATTTCAATTTTGTCAGAGGGTGCCTGCACTCACCAGAGAGAGACAGAGACAAACATCCCTCATGGGGAATTGTCATGTTGTAATCCCTTCTCCATCTCTCCTCCCTTTCAGGATTTTGGGCATACATGCATATACCCCTGGCGTGTTTTTCAAACCCCATCTGTGACTCTAATTGGCCATGTGGGATCCAGTCACTTTAACCACTGCTATGAACTAGGCCCTGGCATGAGAATTTTATTTTCTTTTTTTCTTTTTGGAGAGGTTCATGAACTAGGCCCTGGCATGAGAATTTTCTTTTGTTTTCTTTTTTTCTTTTTGGAGAGGTTTTTGCTATAGGGTGCATGCGCTCACCAAACAGACAGAGAGAGACAGAGAGACAGAAAGCGAGAAATCACCCCCCAAGGGGGATGGCCACGCCACTATCCCTTCTCCTCCATTCTCCTCTCGGGATCTTGGGCACGCACGCACATGCGCCTGGTGTGAGTTTTAAGCCACTGGATCTGGGACGCAAACTACGGTTGACTACATGGGAGTCCAGTGACATAGCCATTACACTAACTGCTGGTCCCCTGGCATGAGAATTTGATGATCCTATATACATCCATCCCCAGGTGTATTGGACTGAAGTAATCTATACTCACACTTGGCATTGAGCTTTCCTCAGCTCAGTTTCAATAGTATGCTCACAGTGGACCAATAGTTATTAATAACCCTTACTGATCTGAGTAAATCAAACAGAAAAATGATCAATCCTTTAAATTTAAAGGAGCACTTCACAAAATGCTATCCTTCTCTGCTATTAAACTTTGTCCAAAGACAGGGCCATTCTATTTACCATGCTTACATGTGCAGACATATACAAGGAGAACTCAGAAAGTTCATGTAAAATTGGAATAAAAATACAAGTCTTTTTTGGTGTAAAAAATAAAAAGTTCAAAATTTATTCATAGCTATTTCATAAAAGGCATTTTCCAGGAATACTTTGAAGACCACTTGTTTACTGGAGGTGATGCTAATATTACAGTTTCAAAACATTAATCAAATATTTATTTAAAATACAACCTAAAGTCACTGAAGAACCAAGCTTTCTTAATACCAAAGAGCCACAAACCAAAACTAATTTCAGTGTATTTTCAAAAGCTGGGCTTAGTGGTACATGCCTGTAGTCCCAGTGACAAGAGAAATTGAGGCAGGAGAGACACAAGGTAGGGAGGCTGTGTCCAAAAAAAAATCCTTTCAGACAAAAGTATCATTTTAGTGTATTTTCAAAAGAAAATTTGCCTAATTAACCTATTTCTTTTGATTCAGATAGTATTTCTGAAACTAATTGTTCTTCTACGATATTTCAGTATCATCAGCATTCTAAAAGAAAAGAATCTTTTCTTCAAAAACTGAAATTCTTTCAAGTAGCTTTCCTTTGTTCTTTTTCTTTATTTCTAAGAGCCTTCTTTGAGCTTATGTGGAAATATAAAGAACTACAAGTACTTGAGCGCAAAAACATTTAAAAGCTTCTAGGAAAGTTACCAGGATTTGAAGGGATCTTTACATTAGAAGATCATCTACGACTCCCTGCGAGACATGTGAAGATTTGAGTCACTTTATCTGCAATGGAGGTTAGCCACGGCTCTCATTTGAAGAGTACTTTCCTGCTTGTTTATTGCATGTTTATTTATTTATTGAACATCACTTTTGGTTTACCAGATGGTAAAGCTTAGCTGAATGCAAGCACTGCCTTTTGATATCAAAGCCTGGCAAGCCCATGTTTACTAAGCTCTTCCTTATTAGGTGCCAGCTCTTCTGAATACATGACATTTATTATCTCCCACCATCTTTTCAGCAGCCCCATGAGGTATCTACTTTGATTTTCTTCATTTTATCAATGAGGAAAGTAATATTACAAGAGGTGAACTAATTTACCCCGTCTCTAAGGAAAAGAAAATAAAGATCATCATCTTTGTGCAGGATTAATTTTAGAAGCATCATTCACACAACATACTCCCTGTAAATTAAATATAGGATGCTCAGGCTTATAACCAACTTTCCCGTTTCTAATTCTAATATATCTTCAACTCTGTAAAGTGAGGGTGACCAAGCAACTAACTGCTTACCATTTGAAAGAGAAAGTTCGCTGGATCTTGTAAGTATTATACCATGGTCTGTATATGTTATTAAGCACAAGCAAATGTTATTATGGATTTGGATGTCATGTTTGTAATACGACTAAGTCTAAGAATTTATACTCTATTTTGTAAGTAGCAAATGTCCATGGCCTCCAAGATGGGTAGTGGTCTTTAATTGTTACGTGAGAGCACCTAAGAATTATTGCTTCTCTGAGAGTCAACCTCGAGTTTCATAAAGCAAGTTTATGCTCACATTAGAACATTTTATAAGTCTAAATGCATGTATCTAGCCCTTTGCGAGTTTTAATGTGCCCAGGGAGAGAAGTAGGCTTAATAATACTACTACTAATATTCTTCAGTAATTCTATTTCTAGCATCTTGATAATTTGACATTAATTACAAGGGAAAGCTATTCCATGTTTTGCAGAATTGTTGGCTCTATATAAAATGTTTTATTAATAGTTTTTCTTCTCATCTGAAATTGAAATTTCTCTCTATGTCTATTAATAAACACGGTTGTCCTAGTCTCTTTTCTCTACCCATGCTATCCATTTGTAGTCATGATAACTTTTTATCCTCCTGTTACTCCTTTTGATCATTTTTGTGGTGAAATGAAGGCTATGTTTTATAGTTCATTTGGTTTTACATTTTTTTAGTCTGCCAAAGGGCAAAGGAGTTCATCAGAGAGAGACAGAACAAGTGAGAGGGAAGAAGAGAGGGAACATAAGAAAGCAGCATGGTAATACCCTAGTCCCTTTTCCTCCATTTCTCCCTCCTGTGGGGATT